ATATTCACGCGGGAAGGATCAACATTCACTCATTCAAGATTTCAGGTGATTCGATGGACGTCATACTTCGTGTCGGAACGAGACGCGATACATCGCATCCATAGTTCCATGTTTTCGGCTATTCGTCATTTACAGTGAACTTGTGAGATCGTATTTCTATCGTTACGAAACTGGAGGGATTCACTTACAAAATTTGACGAACAAATTCAACGTAACATACCTAGGCAGGATTTTTCCTCTTAAAAAAACCTGCCTATGTTACGTTGAAATTGCTTGTCAAATTTTGTAAGTGAATTCTTCAGTCTCGTGACCACAGAAATGCGATCTAGAAATTCAATGAAAATGACAAATATCCGAAAACATGGAGCTAATCGACGGAATGTATCGCGGGTCTCGTTGTGACAGGAAGGATGGCGTCCATCGAATCACCTTGAGCAAATACCTAGAATAAAATCAAGACACAATTACATAAATTAATGAATGAATTGAAAGATAATGTTATGAGGAAAGAACTACTCACACGAACATGCAGTACAATGAAAAAACTAGGAAAAATTAGTAAGAGTGTAAGAGAAGGTTGAGATCATAAATGAGAAAGAAAAAAAGCGATAATAGGGGATTATGGATGGGCCATTTTCTTCCTTCTTCTTTCTTCTTTGTTATTACATGAAACCGCAGTCTAAAAGATGCAACTTCTTGTATCCCTACTTGACAAGTTCATGATTTAATGTAAAGCCGCACTTCACGGATGTCTAACACTGAATCACATTTAAATTAAACCTTAGAGGTAATAATGTCGGGAATAAATTTCTGTACTTCACTCCCATCTGCAGAGACCATCATTCAAGCACCGAACAAAAAACAGTGATTGCTAGAAATGGTCTCTTCACTTGAATATTGGCAGCTAGACATGGAAAAGCTTATTTATAATTTTAATTTTAGTATATAATTTCAAATTAGAGATAATTAGTTGTAATTAATTACCTACTTAAATAAATGGTAATACCGCATCCCTGAAATTCTCTTCCCTAAAGTATGGACACAAAATTAAAGGTGTATTTATGGTGAAGGGGGGGGATGGCGAAGATTTTCATTCAAAGGTTACGGTGGTTTCTTCAGCCCTCTGGAAGACGAATCGTTAGTGGATAGATCAATTGATTACTCCTGAATTTTAGGATATTTCTTCGAAAATTTCTGCGAGTCTCGTCACAACGTAGATCGTCAGGTACTGACACTGACAGAGAAAAAATTTTGAAAGAACTTTAAAAGTACATCCCGAGCGAAAATCACAAATCGAAAGGAGAAACGACTCGCGACGCCCACAAGAGATATTCGCTTACAGTTAATCCAAAGTTTCGCAAGGTCAAGTTTTGTCTAAAAATATCTGACGCGCTACAGCGTGATATTACACTCAGAAATATTTTAAGTACGAAAAGGTAAAATCCATGAATAATCAATTGCTAAATCGGCTATCGAATCATTTCAAGATTGGAAAAAAATTAGGAAAGGGAAAGGTGGGGGGGAGTCTGATGGAGATTTTCAATCAACGCTTTGGCGGCGGCAATCACCAGCGGACAAAGTCTAGACATGTCTAGACACAAGAACAATGGAAGCGATCTGAAAGAGAGGTGGCAGCCAGCCGTGGACGGGGACACACTCACACGTGTCCCCAAATCTGAAAATTGAGTTGGATTATGTAACTCTGAGGAGATGGAAGAAGGGTTGAGAAGGAAAACATGTGTCATCGGCAGACGGAAAGCGAACGATTTCAGTTCACTTCAAAGGCTCTCCAACCGAAACTCTGAATCTATCAGCTAAAATCTTCCGAGCAGGGGGAATTCCTAGAAAGGTTTGCTGGTCGGCGAAACTGATTACGGGCATCCGGCCGGGTCGAGTGCTGGGTGGACCGATTCTGAGCGGAGCCTTGATTTTCCCCCTTTCCCGCCTTTCCTTATCTCACTTTCTGCTAACACCTGACCAAAAATTCACGAGGGAATCGGACGGAATTTTGTCGCTTCGAAGGGGCATGAATGTTCACTCGCTCACTCTCTCAGTATCTCTCTCTTTCGTCTATCCTTCTTCTCTCATCAATTCCGTCCGTTGAGCCCGCGAAAGGACTCGGGCCCAAGCCATGTCCGCTATTGCCAAATTTAATTGGGCAATTGAATTTTTTGCAAGAGAGCGTATGTGAGGATTCTCTTGAAATTTTTAAGGAATTTGCTTTGTACTTACTGTGCAAACAAATCACCGACTTAGGCACGAAAGTCCGCACAACCTTTATCACGTTTAATAAATTAAATTGCCTAATTTCTGCTTAACGCGGTCTAAGCTAGCTTTAAAAAAAAATTGGCTCGACTGAGCGAAACATCCTCCTCATTGATGAACGATGATGAAATTAGACCCGGAAATAATGTACGGGGGAACATTGAGAATTTCCTCTGACATTTTCAGGGTAGCATTTGGATAGGGGAAAAGGGTGATAGCCCCTCTAAATTTGAAGTATACCTACAAGAGGAGCAATTTTTGTCATTTAAGGGCAATATTTCCGGGAGAATTTTTGAACGGCGCTCCACAAAACAACTGATGCCCCCCCCCCCCCCCCNCCCCCCCCTCCAGGATTTGACTGACGCTGCCATCACTCCGCATCTTCGTCTCGATGGTCTTGACAAATATATTGGAAACTTTTTGGGAAAGCCATGTGGCTAGAGCAAACTGGGGGTGACTTGCTTCCCCTCCCCCCCCACCTATTTAATAGGGAGTCTGCGTCTTGCCAATGTGATGAAAATTCGGGGAGTCTCTCTCGGAAAATCTTGGAATATTGACCTCTCTCAGACTATGCATTTTGAGCAACTCCAGCGCAAAATTTGGCCGAAGGCAAACATAAGGTTTATCTCTGCAAATAATCATGGGGAAAGCTCTCTAACTGTCTCGCACAAAATTCGCCAGCTCTGAAACTATATTCTACTTTGCAGATTTTGTAGGGAGGCGAGGAAGGGGGGGGAGCAGATGATACTATTTCTAATACTTGGNGGGGGGGGGGGGCGCTAACCCATCCTGACGCTTAAGAGATACGTCTGCAGGAAAAAATTCTCTCGCTTTGTGGGGCATGGATATTCGCTCTTTCTCTCTCTTTAACATCTTAGTATCTTCCTTCTCTCTTCAATATCATCTGTTGGACCCTTGTCGGCGAAACAAGACACTTCAACTAAATCACTGAAAAACCGAAAGTTTCTACTGGTCGTCTTCGCGTGTATCCAACTGTGACGTCATAAATTTCAGGAAATGTTATCGGAAAATAATTCTAAAAGTGAGAGCCAGCTTATCAAAATTTAAGGGGAAATACAGGATCTATATTGAGTCGAATGTCGTTCATTTTAGAATAACTTAAAAGCTTTTGGAAAGCACATTATTATTTCAATTGCCTGGAAAATCTACTTGAAAGTTCGCCGAATAAAAATAGATAGTGACTGTGAGTGAACCATTTGAGGGTATGAGGTCGGAAAGGAGAGGGGGATTCCTGAATCAAGGATTAGGCACATGAATCTATGAAAATACTGCCGGTGTTGATGATATAGCTACAAAACTTAACAGGTCAGGGACTTGCAAAACTATTCTGTGTTCTTGTGGAGGGGCTGAATGAAACAAGAATTGTTACAGTGGAAAGCTGTAAACATGGTATAAGGTCCTAAGAGGAGATGGAAATTAGGTATGCATGATGGAAATCAGGAGGGGGCACATTTTACGCATTTATTGACACAGGATTATGCTCTCATAGAAGCACCAATATTCATCATCAGTAAATTTCTGGAAAAGATGGTTGCAGGATTTTGGCTTCTAATTTACCTACTTTGCATTTATTGATAGTGGACAAATTTCCTCCGATCTTCAGCATAAGTATATAACTAATCTAGAAATTAATATGCGGAAAAACAGTTTAAGAAATATTTCTTCCCGAGACTGTGAGGCTTATCAATATTAATCCGCGGACCTCAGAATGTTAGTGGGAAGGAAAGGATATTGAATTGTTGTTGGCCAATCTACATTTAGGTAAATTGAAGACATGTTGAAAAAAAAAATGAATTAAGTACAGATCATGATAAGGATAAGATGATAGGTACTTTACTACAAATCTTAGAAGTTAGAAGCGATATGAACTTCAGAGAAGAATTTAAATTCAATTAATTGTCCTACGATAAGTGTTGAAAACCTGAAAAGTTTTTACTGTAGGAAGGTGAATCATCATATGGTTTCTGGGGTGTCCAAATCGGCGTGAAATGTATAGCATCAAGTGAGTAACAAATCTGAGCAGATTTGGAATTTATAGCACGAAAAATAATGATGGCCCATGCGCATGAACCTTGACAATCATTCTAAACCAACAAGTGAGCAAAATTCAGAGCGATGAAAATAGGATCATTCTGGAGAAAAAAATCACATTCAATACATTAGCCGAATAACTGTTGCACGCAATGTTCTGATCCAAAGAGGATCCTGCTTTCATTTCTCTAAATTTTGCCAGTTTAATGGTTTAGTATGAAAGTTAAAGCTCATTCGTAAGGAGTATGGTTCTTTTTTTGACTAAAGATTCAAGATTTGCAGAGATGTTAGACTATATTGATGCGATAAATTGCACTCCAGTTCAATCACAACAGGAAATGTAACAAGTCACCTTAAAAGAAGGTTGCCAGAATCTGACTCAAGGCGATTACAAATGTCTGCAGACCTCTCATTTTCATGGATAGAGTTTGAGCTGTCAAACCGAAAACACTGCTAGAATTTTTTACCTAAAAGTAATGATCATAGACTGAGTCAGATCATCGTTGAGCCACTTTTACTTCACCTTCAATAAATAAGAAAGAGACCTCCTAAGTAAGAGGGGAAAACGACAAGAAAAAAAGAACAGACAGATTGAGAAGACAAATAAATTGAGTACATAACAATTTCGCATTGAGTGACACCTTATCTGGGCAAAATCTAAAAAAATTAAAGATACTTCAAACCTCAATCCAGTACCCAGCTGTAGCAATGAGGATCAGCAATTCGACCAGATATCGGAAATCCTATTCGCAGTAATGAAAACACTCGATGGATTCAGTCTTAGAGAATTCAAAAGGAGCCGCGAACCACGCGAGATCACTTGAGTCGAACGAACACCGCGACCAAAGTTTATCAAACGATTCGCACAAAAAGTTCACACAAACCGACACGAACCCGAAAACCGCACTGGAGTACCGGCAATTCACTTTTTCCATTACACGACAAAAATCAATCGATAATTAACAATCTCAAAAACAGGACATCAAGAGACACGGCTTGGGACCCACGAGTCATAAGTCAACAAGTGCCGGAATAATGAATGGAAAAATGGCCGACCCTTCTATTTGCCGCAGGCGAATTTTGACTCGAGCTGCGAATTCACACGCGACCGAAGAGTTTCCGAGAAACACGATAATCCGGCGATTCGCACATTACGACGAACGACGAAACTTCTTAGAGTAAGAATTCAATTCAGATCACTCAAAGGCAGGACATCATGCGTAAGGGCTCGAGAATCACAAATCAACAAGTTGCAAAAACGAGTCCGTGTCTTGCACTTGCCGCGGGCGTAGTTCCGATTCACGCGACGACTGTTCTAAAATACACCGAGGATTACTCGAAAATAATGTTCTAGAAAGTTTAACACTCAGTTTCAAGATGGCTAAGAATGATCAGTTTCGATTTCACGCGGAGGCGAGACAATGCGAAGGGACGGCCGGCTGACCTGACTGAATAATGAGAGGTAGGGATGTCGATTTTTTCGATTCGATTCTGACGAATCGATTTTTTCAGAGAAAAAA